TTAATTGTTCTTTTAGTTTCTGTCTCATTATTTTCAGCTTTGATATTTATTATTTATTCCCAAGGCAATTTGGGGATTAATTTGTTCATACTTTTCTAAGACCTGGAAGTATGTCATTAAGTTATTTGGATCTCTCTCATATTTTAATTTATAGCTATGTACTTTTTGCTTGGAAACTTTTGGACTATATTCCACAGATTCTGGTATGTTGCGGTTTAATTTTTGATTCTAGGAATTTTTTTTTTTTTTTTTTTTTTTTGTCCATCGTGGGACTTGAACTCTGGGCTTGGGCGCTGTCCCTCAGCTCTTCAGCTCAAGGCAAGCGCTCTACCACTTGAGCTACAGTGCCACTTCCGGTTTTCTGGTGGTTTATTGGAGATAGGAGTCTCACGGTCTCTCCTGCCCAGGCTGGCTTTGAACTGCGATCCTCAGATCTCAGCCTCCTGAGTAGCTAGGCATACAGGCGTGAGCCACCAGCGCCCGGCGAGATTCTAGGAATTTTTAAATTTCCTTTCTTACTTCTTTGATGACCTAGTGATCATCAAAGGCCTGTTTAATTTCCATATGTGCTACCCTTCCTACTGCAGCTGATTTCTAACTTTGCTCTACTATGATCTGATAAAGTGGGAGAAATTATTTCAACATTTGTGTATTTGTTAAAAGTTGCTTTATGGGGCTGGGAAGTTGGCTCAGTGGGGTAGAGTGCTTGCCTTGCATGCATGAGGCCATGGGTTCGAGTCCTCAGCACTACATAAGAAGAAAAAAGCCAGAAGTAGTGCTGTGGCTCAAGTGGTAGGGCACTAGCCTTGAGCTGAAGAGCTGATGGACAGCGCCCAGGCCCAGAGTTCAGGCCCCATGACTGGCAAAAAAAAAAAAAAGTTGCTTTATGTCCTAAAATGTTATCTGTTTTGAGAAAGTTTTATAGGCTGCTGAGAAGAATGTACATTCTGTAAATATTGGTTTAAATATTTTTAAATTATCTATTAAGTCCATTTGATGTATAATGTAATTTAATTTTACTGTTTCTTTGTGAATTTGTTATCTATATGACATATCTATTGCTGATCATGGATATTAAAGCATCATTATAAATGTTCTGAGATTTACCTGTACCTTTATGTCTACTAGTGCACTGATATTTGGTACATGTATGTTTATATTGTCATATACTCTGAGTGGTTGGTGCTTTTTTTTTCAGTCATGGGGCTTGAACTCAGGGCCAAGGCACTGTCCCTAAGCTCTTTTGCTCAAGGTTAGCACTCTACCACTTTGCGACAGCTCTGCTTCCATTTTTCAATGGTTAGTTGAAGATAAGAGTCTCATGGACTTTCTTGCCTGAAGCTGGCTTTGAACTATGATCCTCAGATCTCAGCCTCCTGAATAGTTACAGGCTTAAGCACCAGAGCTGGGCCTGGATGGTACTTTCTATCAATATAAATGACTTTCTCTTTTTGCCTTTGATTTGAAATCTGCTTTGTTGATTATGAGTATAGCATCTTCTTGTTTTAGGTTTAAATTTGCTTAGAATATTTTTGTCCATCCTTTCACTTTAAACCTATGCTTTCCTTTGCAGTGAGGTGCATTTTTTTTTGTAGGCAGAAAGCAGTTGGTTCTTATTTTTAAATCCAGCTTGACATCTGTGTCTTTTAAGTGGAGAATTAAGATCATTCAGAGTCATAATTGAAAGATATGTAATAATTTCTATCACTCCTGTTGTTTGTGCAGTAAGTTGGATTTGGCCTTTGGGCTGTAGTTCTTCAAAGTGGCATAAAAAGAAACTGAGTTGGGCCGGGTGTTGGTGGCTTATGCCTGTAATCCTAGCTACTCAGGCGGCTGAGATCTGAGGATGGCAGTTCAAAGCCAGCAGAAAAGTCCATGAGACTCTTATTTCCAATAAACCACCAGAAAACCGGAAGTGGTGCTGTGGCTCAAGTGGTAGAGCGCTTGCCTTGAGCTGAAGAGCTGAGGGACAGCGCCCAAACCCAGAGTTCAAGCCCCATGACAGACAATAAATAAATAGAAACTGAGTTGGGAGAAAAATGGTGATCAGGGACTAAGGCAGTCACTATGGCTGGCCACTGATCCTTAGACTCAGGATGGTCAAGCAGGACAGAAGCCACTATGGCCAGTGGAGATAATGAATTCATCTGGAATAATGGCCAGGTGAAGGTGGCAGTGGGAAGAGAATCAAAGAGCTAAGGACTAACAATGAAGAGGGAGAGACCAGAAGGTCAGGGAATGGCAATGACAAGAAGCAGGAAGCTGATTCAGCCAGGGATAAAGTGTACCCTTCAAAGACACACCCCCAGTGACCTACTTCTTCCAATGGGGCCCCACCTGGAAAAGTCTTCACCACCTCTCCATGGCGCCAAATAATGACCAGTCCTTTTGCACATGGCTTTCAGAGAACATTTCACATCGAAACCATAACCACAAATAAATTATTAACGAAGACATGCAAACAATCTCTCTTCCTCCCTCTCTCCCCTCCTCCACCGGATTAGAACATTTTGTTGCTTTGGGGATGGAGATATGGCTCCAAGGTAGAACTAGGATGAGTAAGACCCGATTCAATTCCCAAACAAACGAAACACTCAAAACATATTTTTTTTGTTTTGTATTTGTACTTCAGGGACACATAAGGCATTTAACAATCTGAATGAATGGGATAAAGTATTGAGTCTATACCGTGGGATTTAAGTCTTCGAACAACAGTGTCCTTCTTCTGCCTTATTTACTGTACAAACTATGTTTTAACCCATCTCACTGTTACATCTTACCTGAACAAGAGATTGCTTGGCCCATGCAGGTTCCTGCTGCTCCCCATGTGCTTAGGCCCATATCAAACACCACCTCCCCCTCTTACTTCTCCTCCCCCCACTCCTCTTTCTCGTCCTCGTCTTCTTCTTCCTCCTCCTCCTCCTCCTCCTCCTCCTTCTTCTTTGTCGTCGTCGTGGGGCTTGAACTGTGGGCCTGGAAGCTGTCTCTGAGCTCTTCAGCTCAAGGCTAGCATTCTACCACTTGAGCCACAGCACTACTTCTGGCTTTTTCTGCTTATGTGGTGCTGATGAATTGAACCCAGGGCCTCATGCATGCGAGGCAAGCACTGTACTACTGAGCCACCTTCCCAACCCTCCTCCTTCTCCTTCTCCTTCTCCTTCTTCTTCTCCTTCCTCCTCCTCCCCCTCCCCCTCCTTCCCCTCCCCCTTCTACTCCTCCACCCCCTCTTCCTTCTTCATCTTCTTTCTCCTCTTCTTTTTCTTCTGAAAAACCCTTTCCTAAACCCCAGTTCAAAATTCTTCCTTTTCTCTGGTACAGAGAGAGAGAAAGAAAGAGAGAAAGACAGAGAGGAAGAAAGGAAAGGAAAGAGAGAGGAAAAAGAGGAAAAGTACAGGACAGCATGCAAAAGTGTGCTGTAAGAGCCATAGATTTAACAGCCTGAAAACTAATTTTTCTTAGTTTATGCTTATGTAGAGGAAGAAGTTATTCTACTATCCTCATTTAGAGAAAACCAAACATAATGAAAACTTCCTTGCTAAGTCAGATGAAGACATTCTGGAGACATTTGGAAGTACAGTGATGGAGGCCTTGGGTTCGATTCCTCAGCACCACATAAGCAAAAAGAAAAAAGCCAGAAGTGGTACTGTGGCTCAAGTGGTAGAGCGCTAGCCTTGAGCTGAAGAGCTGAAGGACAGCGCCCAGGCCCAGAGTTCAGGCCCCACGACCGGACCCAAAATAAATAAATAAATAAATATTATAAAAATAAAACAATATGTGCTATATAGTACACTCGATGGGTATTTTTTAATTAAATTTAATTTTTTGGGGGGCCAATGCTAGAGCTTGAACTCAGGGCCTGAGTACTATCCCTGAGGTTATTTGCTCAAGGCTGGTGCTCTACCTCTTGAGCCATAGCTCCACTGCCAGCATATTTTGGTAGTTAATTGGATATAAGAGTCCCATAGACTTTCCTGCTTAGGCTGGCTTTGAACCACGATCCTTAAATCTTAGCCTCCTTAGTAGCTAGGATTACAGGCCATAAGTATCCAGGTATTTTGAACATAAATAATGAACAAAGGTAATTAAGGTGAGATTCCTGTTCCAACTACCTGATGCTTCTTTACCTGAGAATGGGGGAAACAAGTGATTGATTTGTCTACACAAAGTTCAGGCTCTCCTTTAGCAATCTTTTCTGCCCTACAAATGAAAAAAAAACCCAAAAACATTGTTTCTTTTTTTTTTGGGGGGGGTCCAGTTGTGGGGCCTGAACTGTGGGCCTGGGTGCTGTCCCTCAGCTCTTCAGCTCAAGGCTAGCACTCTACCACTTGAGCCACAGCACCACTTCCGGCTTTTTTCTTTTTTCTTATGTGGTGCTGAGGAATCAAACCCAGGGCCTTAGGCATGCAAGGCAAGCGCTCTACCACTGAACCACCTTCCCAGCCCAACATTGTTTCTTATAAGGACATGGTTATGGGTTATGAGCAGATCCTAGTCTTATACCCTGAACACAGGCTCACCTCTGATTTTGTTTGTTTGTTTACTTGTTTATATCTTCATGTAGATTTGAGTGAGGACATTTGTGTGATGGTTGGAACAACAGATCATAGGGTACAAACTGATCTGAGACAAAGGAGGCTTAGAACCTTCTAGTCCTTCAGGCATTTTTATTATCGGGCAGATATAAGCTTGGTCAGAGCACCTTTCAAAGTTACAGTTCCAACTGATTTCATGAGGTCAACCAGAGGGCAGTGAACATAATGGCAGTAGTTTATATAAAAACAATGATGGTGACGTTGCCACCCTGTCTGCTACCGTCACCTGTCTGCTTCAACCCAATGAGGAATGAAGACAATAAATATCAAGATGACTTGATATTCATCTAGACTCCTGTGTCACTTGCTTTGACAGAAGACAAGACCCCCCTTCCACCCATGCCCAGACTTGGAAAAAATGGTGGCAACATCCTTTTTGCCCTAACTTCTTATTCTGTTGTGTCTAGTCTAGATCTTGAAGTATCTGACCCTCCCTGGGCAATGGCGAACCACTGGGCCTGCAGCACCAAGTTGGGTCACCTGAGGGGCTTTCTCTGAATTGAAAGCTTCTCCTGAGGCTGACTCCACCGAAACTACACCTGAGAAGGTATGGCGCAGGTCATGGTGGGTCCCGCCCACTGCAGGCCCTTGAGGAACTTCCATCACCATCGGTCCCACCACCAGCGAAGCTACAGGTGGCCCAGCGGGAGTCGGTGCAGGTGGACTTTGATCTGCAGAGGGAAGGTTTGCTGTGTTGGCACCATCTGGCTGAGACTGTGGGACCACAGGCTAGAAGGAGAGAGAGAGAGAGAGAGAGAGAGAGAGAGAGAGAGAGAATGAATGAATATGAATCAGACAAGGTTTCCTACAGTTCTGGGGTACACCCTCTCAATTTGTAATGATTTTTTGGTCCATTATAGGGCTTGAACTCTGGGCCTGAGCACTGTCCCTCAGCTCTTCAGCTCAAGGTGAGTGCTCTAGCACTTGAGCTACAGCACCACTACTGGTTTTCTAGTGGTTAACTGGAGATAAGAGCCTCACAGACTTTTCTTTGAACCGTGATCCTTAGATCTCAGCCTCCTGAGTAGCTAGGATTATAGGCTGTGAGCCCCAGCCCCCAGCTGTATTTTTTTTTTGCAAGGAATCTAGAGGAGAAAAAAAACTATGTAAGCACAATGGATTGTCATGAGAGGGTCACGGGAGGGCTAACTATGGAGCCTGGTCTCCTAAGATTATGTTTGACACCACAGACTTAACACAAACCTGTCCATTGATAGAAGCACCTCAGTCACATATCACCTATACCTGCAGTTTCCAGGGGCTGATGGCAGACCTGCCTACCACCCATGAATCAAAAGGTGAACTTGTACACTTACACAAGTGTAAGTTTTGTCCCACAACCATAAGTACAGAGGAAAGAAAGACCTGGTGGAAACCTCCCTGTGTGGATGATGACTCCATGAACCCCAGGGTCATGTAAGGTTTGACAGCAGTTGCCCTGTTGTTATTAACACCCAATACCTAAGTGTTGAGGGGTTGTTGTGTTGTGAAGATGTGAGTGGGGATACCCATAATGTTGTTACCTGTTTTTGGAACACGGTGCAGGTCACTGAAACTTCTTCTCCACCAAGTCTCTCATGGAGCGATGCCTTGCAGAAGCCATATTGCTGTCCCCAGAGGGAGAAGAGTAAGTTATTTGAATCCATGTACAAGGTAGATTTCTCTTTAGTTTTATTGGTACTATAACATATCAAGGCAAATAAACTTTAATTTGTATTGTTTTGTGGGTTTTTTTTTCTGCCAGTCCTAAGGCTGGAATCCAAAGTCTGGGTGCTTTCCCTGAGCTTTTTTTTGTTCTCAAGGCTAGTACTATCTATTGAGCTAGAACTCCACTTCTACCTTTTTGGGGTAGTTATTTGGAGACAAGGCTCCTGGACTTGTCTGCCTGGATGGGCCTCCAGCTGTGATTCTCAGGTCTCAGCCTCCTAGGTAGCTAGGATTACAGGCATGAACCATCTGTGCCTGGCTAAAATTTATTTCTACTTTAAAAGGCTTTAAAGTTTATAGTTTCTACTTTTAAAAGATCTATCTGGCTAGATAGGACAACTAAGAATGTTACAGTTAGCTATGACTGGAGAGTTTCTATCACTAGGACAGATAGTTAAAGAGATAGATACATACATACAATGTGATTACATATAGATACATATATGCATACTATACATATGTACATATATATACACAATGTGATTCTACATATAACAGAAAATAGAGAATTGCTATGAGAACAAAAATTCAATTCCAAAAATGGTGATTACCTAGACAAAGCTGATATTATCACTAACATATTTCTTTCTAATAGCATATGCACTAAATAAAATAAAACCTGATACCATTGTAATTACACTGCCTTATGTCCAGGGGTTTTCAGTTACTCAAATAGCATTTTCTCCTATCAGTTATCAAATCCTCCATAGTTTTCTATTCACAGGTGTATTCCATTTACTGATTATCAATTACACCTTCCTGTTGGTCGCTGAGATTTTTTTTTCTTTTTTTATCATTTGCTATCTATAGTAGGTCATTTTCATAGGAATATTTCTGTCGAACATCTCTAAGACACTCTTTTTGTTTTGTGCCAGTACTGGGACACAAACTCAGGGCCTCCTGCTCTCACTCAAAGCTGGTGCTCTGTCATTTGAGTCACACCTCTGCTTCCAGATTATGGCTGCTTAATTGGCGATAAGAGTCTCAGATTGGTCTTCCTGAACTGGCTTCAAAGTATGATCCTCAGATCTCAGTCTGGTGAGTAGCTAGAATTTCAAGTATGAGTCACCAGCACTTGGCTTCTTACACATTCATTAGGCTAAATTCCCACAAGTGGCCATCACTGCTGAAAGAGTTGAATGATTTTGTATTAGAGAAGTGTCTAGGAAATGTGTAATTCACATCTCCAGCCAGGTTATGACTGTGCTTCACTAGGAAACAGTTTTTCCCCAATTGCATGCACCTCCATGCAGGCTGACAGGTCTTCCAGGGGAACGTGAGGCCCTGGAGAAGGGTCTGGCATGATTCCCACAGGGAGCAGAGATTTTACAGTTACTTTCTTCCTGCACTCTGAAGATACAAACTGCATAAAGATGCTGTGCATTACCACCAGCTTAGCATGGGTAACACCCTCAAGGCCTGGCCCACTCACCTTTTCTGCCAACAACTTGCAACTGGCTGGATCAGTGACTTCTTTAGCAACGCAGTCAGTGGCAGCCACAGCAAACTCCACAAAGGTCGAAACTGGGAGAGGCTAGTGAGAACAATTGAAAATGCACTTGAGGCAAGAAGACTTGGAGTGAGGAGGGCAGGGTGGAAAAGCTGGAGGGAAGCGGCAGGGACTGTGGCATAAGACTTTAGGTACAACCATTCACACGGACCACAGTGTGTGGTTCTAGAATGGCTGGCCTAGGCAGTTGCTGGGGACTGTGTTCTGAAGCATTTACACTATAGAGATTGGAGTTGGCTCTTCCACGATGGAGGATTAAATACAGATTGCCCATCATCTATGTTGGACTTAAGTTCTCAGGCAGGAAATGAAAAGTTGGAGGCCAATTTTATGGAGACAGGAATAGCTAACCTGTCCCCCATACCCCCTGGCTCTTGGGGCTGTACTTATTTGTTGGGGAGGGGTACACATGTACGCACGCAAGCACACATGCCAGTACTAAGGCTTGAACTCCGGGCCTTGTGCTCTTGCTTGGCTTTGCTCAAGGCTGACACTGTATCACTTGAGCCATACCTGTATTTCTAGCCTTTTGCTGGTTAAAGTTAAGTGCTTCAAGGACCTGCTTGTGTGAGCTGGCTTTGTACTTTGATCCTCAGATCTCAGACTCCTAGGCAGCTATGATTATAGGATTATAAGAGTGAACCACAGCACCCAGCTAGTGGTTTTAATTGAAGACGCAGAGTTTGGGTTACTCCATGACAGAGTGGGAAAGTGAAGAGATGATCCCTCCCTTATCTATTGCACATGGAAGGGTCAAGTGCAAAATGACAGTATGAAAAACATAGCTTGTGCTTTTTCTTCTTCTTCTTTTTCTCCTTGGAGACTCTGGACCCTTACAATAATAAGATATCTGTTATTTGGTATCCATCTGAGATGGTGATGTTCTGAGAACAGCATGTTTTGGTGAGCAGAAATATAACATAGCTATACTAATGTATTTTCCAAGTATGTTATGGGTGTTGTCCAGATAGGCAGATTTCTTAAGATGTTCCAATGCTATTACATTCCAACATGCTAAAGGGTCAGTAGCACAATTAGGTTTTTACTTTCTCACTGATTTAAAAGGCACAGTCGGCCAGGCACTGGTGGCTCACGCCTGTAATCCTAGCTACTCAGGAGGCTGAGATCTGAGGATCGCGGTTCAAAGCCAGCCAGGGCAGGAAAGACCGTGAGACTCCTATCTCCAATAAACCACCAGAAAACCGGAAGTGGCGCTGTAGCTCAAGTGGTAGAGCGCTCGCCTTGAGCTGAAGAGCTGAGGGACAGCGCCCAGGCCCAGAGTTCAAGCCCCACGACCAACAAAAATAAATAAATAAATAAATAAAAGGCACAGTAGGATTGTGCCATTATACATCTGTCGGTGTGAGCTGGGGGTGATGGAGGCCATGGTTGGTCAGTGTATGGAGATCAGTGGACACAAGATACCATGTGTGTGTGTGTGTGTGTGTGTGTGTCTGTGTGTGTGGATGGCCGACTCTGGCACTGTTTAGAACCAGAGAAGTCAGGTTGTGCTTATCTACAGCATCTGGCCATTTCATATCAGAGAAGCTCAGCTCAGGCAACGCTCACGACACAGCATCCTCACACCCCTGGGTACCATTTTCCCCTTCCCAACCAACACCCTCCTTTGCCCTCTGGTTGTTGCCCTTGCACCTGCTTTCCCCCTGAGCCCTGTTTCACCATTTGTATTTCCCATGTGCCACCCACTGCCCAATCTACTAAGCGAATCTCAGTCTTTACCACAAGTTGAGCCCGGGAAATTTCCACCAGCTTGAAATAGGATCCGTTGGTCTTCGCGTTGAAAGCAGCCAGGGCGGCTTCAGCAGCGTGCACCACTCTGGTGTCATTGCGTTGAGCCAGCAGAGGGCAGTTTGGACACACCTTGCGCACATCCTCGGCTGAGTCTGGGCAGAAAGGGGAACCCTGGGATGCCAGTACTGTCCCTTGGCTTTTTCATTCAAAGCTAGCACTCTGCCACTTGTGCTAGACCTTCATTTCTGGCTTTTTTGGGGTGGTTAATTGGAGATAAGAGTCTTAGAGACTTTCCTGCTGGCATTAAACCATAATCCTCATATCTCAGCCTCTTGAGTAGTTATGATTACAGGCATAAGCCACTGATGTTCCACACCTAGCTTCTCTTAATAAGCAAACACTAAGATGGGACCCATCTATGTCAGGATTTTTGTCTCCTTCATAATCTTCAAGTGGCCTTGTCATGCTGAAGTTTCCAGGAGAGTCCTTATCATAAAGGGACAATTGTCGTCTCCAATGAGAACAACCCTTACAAACAGTGGCTTTAAAAAATCCCACTGTCCAAGAAGCTTGGCTTCTCCTTTTCTTCACTGACAAAGTAACTAGAACTACTAGGGCTCAAAATTATTCAGATTCCTTCCTCAGTCTCTCTACAAGACAACAGCGATAAGATCAAGAATAATCTGTACCTGGAGTGGAATGACATTTTGCGGACATCACAGAGAACTGGCCATCCTGTTTCAGCACATGGAAGTCACAGTCTCCTTCCACTGCCTGGAGAAGAGACCGTGTAATGAGGGCCCAAGCACATTCTGCCCTTCACTGCTCCCCAGGCGTGGTTGTCAGAGGTGACTCTAACGAAGTCACCTTGAAGCATCATACTCTGCTTTCAAGGAGGGTTGCAGCAAGAAAGTAAACTGTTGTAGAAATCAGCCTTAGGGAAGGTGGCATGCAATGGATATTGATCTATTGCACTAGCACTAGAGCTTGAACTCAGGGCCTGGGTACTGTCCTTGAACTGTTTTGCTCAAAGTTGGTGCTCTATCACTTGAGCCACCGTTCTACTTCTGGCTTTTGGTGATTAATTAGATGTAAGAGTCTTACAGACTTTTCTGGCCTGGACTGTCTTTGAACTATGATCCTTGGATTTCAGCCTCTTGAATAGCTAAGATTCTAAGTGTAAACCACCATCACCTGGCTAAAGATAATTTTAAGAACTGCTTTCTGGCTAGTCAAAAAGACAACCAGCCAGTTGAAGAGAATGGATCTACTTTCCCTTGAATGGAAGTAGAGCTGGCCACCATAAGAAGGGCACTCACATGCTCGGCCACCTGCCTCACGGGACAGTTTGCCAAGGGCGTGGGGTCCAGAACGTGGCAGGTAGTTTCCAGAGTGTCAATTTCAATCTCATATACTTCTCCGAAGGGCCGCTGTGAAGACAGAATGAAGAGTTGAGTTGCCTACCTTGTGGTCTTCCATGTTGTCTCCTCAGCCCGACTTTGAGTTCCTGTTGTGTTTAAATCCATGACCCTTTGGGAGAAGAGAAGTCTTTCCTACTCTCAGCTCATCTAGATCTGCACTGGTCTCGGATCAAGACCATAACCCATGTTTTTTCTATGTGAGCAAGCGCTAAATGGTGCTTCAAGCCATGAAGAGATATTGGCTTAGACAAGGGCTGAAGCCATGTGGGTGGTGGTCTTCACTCTAAGTACAATTTTAAAACTACAAATGAGGGGCTGGGAAGGTGGCTCAGTGGTAGAGCACTTGCCTTGCATGCATGAGGCCCTGGGTTCGATTCCTCAGCACCACATAAGAAAAAAGCCGGGCTGGATGCCAGTGGCTCACGCCTGTAATCCTAGCTACTCAGGAGGCTGAGATCTGAGAATCACAGTTCAAAGCCAGCCCGGGCAGGAAAGACTGTGAGACTCCTATCTCTAATAAACCACCAGAAAACCGGAAGTGGCGCTGTGGCTCAAGTGGTAGAGCACTAGCCTTGAGCTGAAGAGCTGAGGGACAGTGCCCAGGCCCAGAGTTCAGGCCCCACGACCGGACCCAAAAAAAAAAAAAAAAAAAAACTACAAATGAATATTGATGCTTTGTGTGTGTGTGTGTGTGTGTGTGTGTGTGTGTGTGTGTGTGTGTGTGAGTATGTGTGTGTGTGTGTGTGTGTGTATGCTGGGCACTGTCCCTTAGCTTTTCTCACTCAGGGCTGGCACTATACCACTTAAGACACACCTCCATTTCCAGCTTGGTAAATTGGAAATGAAAGTCTCAGAGACTTTCCTGCTAAGGCCAGCTTCAAACTATACTCCTCAGATCTCTGCCTCTTGAGTACTTAGGAGCATAGGTGTGAGCTACTGATGCCTGCAGAATGTAGACACGAATGTAATATTCAAAGCACTGCTTTGAAAACATTGGCTTAGGATTTTCTTATCCAAGCTGTAGTCAGATGGTATAGGATAATAGCTTACTCTCTTTTTCTTATGTTCTTTATCCTTCCCTCAACTTCATTCTTCTTGTCTTTTAATTCTGCCTTCCTTTTCTGAATGTCTTTTCTTCTTAAATGTTTTTTTTTGTTGCTTGATAGATCTGGACTTTTCCTTTGTTTTTCGGCTTGTAGATACCAGGATAAACAGAGCTTGTGTGTATTGCCTCCTGCTGGTCATGAGAGGAACATCAAATTTACTTTGATATTAGCTAACACCTATCAGTAGTATAGAGGCAATTTAGGAAGTTTGCTGAACTCTTAAAAGTACTTCTTCTCAGTTCACGTGGTTATGTATTTTATCTTCAAACCCTGGACTGTCCAGAAATCCTGGAAAACCTCTACCCATCTCTGTCTCTCATTTCAATTCTGCCCAAACCACTAGTATCTGAAGCCTCAGAATCTCCCACCCTGGCAGAAAGCATATGATGATGTGCTAGTATGTCCAAAATGACTTCCTGAAGAGACTCAGAGCTTCGGTAACTGGGATCTGGGTGTAATTGGGTTTCACAAGGAGAGTGAGCTTTCAGTTTTGCCCTAGTGAAAAATCACAGCACCCACCCATTGCCTTTTCTTTCAAGAATGCATGTGGTATGCTTATTTCCCTTGAACTAATCAGTGTTCCTACTATATATATACTAATATATATATATATATATATATATATATACTACTATACCATTAGTATATTTTCCTGTGGCTTCATTGCTCTTAAATCCATCCAGGGAAATCCTGATTTCAGAGATGCCATCCCTTTGTGAGATGAGATGCCAGTATCCAGGCATCCTGTTGTGTACCTGGTTTTCCTCCAACATTGTAAGTCTCTGGTGAACACAGTCTTTCTCACCTTTGTATCATGTGGAACCATATAGGGGTTTTGTATGCCAAAAGCAACCAACTACTGGCAATTTTAGTGGTCTAGTGTCTAATACTTTCCATATCAAATATATCAGAGTACCTGACACTGAATGTTTGCTGAAAAGAAATATCCTTAATCAAATGTAAAGCATTTTATTTCAAAATGAGCAGTTACCCTCTTTTCCCACCTTTCCAAACTTCTCAACTGATCCCCAAGGCACATTTTTGGGGCTGTTCTTTATCATCACTAACTACTAGTCAAATTAATTTCTTGTCTACCATGTGGAGATGTGAATCCTATTTAGGTCAAGACTTCTCTCTAGGATGTGACTCTTTTAGGGAGGTGAATTCTGTAGAGAAAGAACCCCGGTCTGGAATCAAATACCAGACTACTTACTAATAGTATGACTGCGAGCAAGCGAGCAAAAGAGAGAGAGAGAGAGAATGTTACTTTCTCTTACATTAAAAAAAGGATAGCCTATCATCTGCCTCAAATATCTGGTACAGGGAAGAGAGGGGCTAACGGTCTGGCATATGATAGCCAGCTGTCAAATGTTGTTCTCAGTTTTTATCAGAGATAGATGGGAGTGAAGAGAAGCAAGTGATTTTTTTTCAGACAATGAGAACATGGCAAATAGAAGTTGCTCTCTTGGGCCCTAATATTCCTAGTTATCCATGCAAACCATTCTGCTTATGCCTGCAAAACATCCTTGAAGTGGTTTCTTGTCCCTCATGTAACCCCACCCTCCACCCAGTCCCCTCTTTGAGAGATCTATGTCTGCAACATCAAATGCCTCCTCTCTTGCCTTTTGCTTTGTCCTTCCTTTGCTCCTAGGAAGAAATCAGAGTTCCCCACTGCCATTTGATTTGTGATGGAAGATACTGGTCGTTGAGGCACTGGGTTGGGTTCCACATATGTATTATTCATAGCAGGCTCACTTACCCGAGGCCACACCTTCACTTTGTCAATCTGGTTCAAGGCATTCTTGTATCCCTGAAGAAGGTTTTTATTGAGGTAGTCCACGGCAAATGCAGCTACTTGCTCTATTTCTGGATCATCACAAGGTGGTTCACTATAGGCCAGTGCTATAAAAGATGGGGCTGCATAGCAGCCCCAGAGCTGAGCAAGGCAAAGGAACAAGATGAAAGACTTCATGACTGCCCCCACTAACGCCCTGCCTGATGAGCAGATGTCTGGAGGTTTCAGGACCAAAGCAGGTACACTGGTTGGAGAGCTAGACCAACAGAGGGGGAGAGGACCTTTATTTATCTGTTGGAGCCCGCTGAAGGAATTGCATAAGGACCCAAGAGATTTCAGTTCTGCTTCCAAATAACCCCTGCAAATATCCACCCTGGAAAAGCAAACAGGTTAGCACATCAATGATTCCCAAGAAATTTACCAAAGTCAATGCCATTGCATGGGAGATGCTCCAAAGTTTGCTTGGATGACGGAAACAGCAGCAAAGAGAGGAAGAGGCAGCTGAGGGCATGAGACGGACTCAGTCAGCCCGGAGTGTAGTGGGTCTGCCACTAAGGGATCATTCTGAGCATGCCTGGGTCCATGGTGGGGTGAGGGAGAGTTAAAAATGTGTTAACCCTCTGGTGTGAGAGAACTGTCTCCTTCAGGAGGTGCCCTAGAGGGAAAGGTCCACAGATAGGACCAAGGCACACCAAAGCTATACGACAATTTAGATCTTGTGTAAGATCCTTGGAGAATAGAAGGAAGAATGCTATTTGTCTCACCTTGGGAGTAGAAGTAAAAGAAGGGGGTTCTATGTTGGTGGGGGGGGGTGGCTAGAAAATCTATCTTTTTTGCAAACGTCACTGGCAAGACCTTGTGTATGACAGCATAGACAGGTGCTCCTCTGGGCCTTCTGAGTGCTGACTGTAATTGACACCAGTAGGCCTGTGGTCCCTGCCAGTGCCAATACAGAGGAGGGGAGTTCTGGCTAAACAGCCACTCATTTGGCAAAGTTCTGAGTTGGAGTCCAATACTGCATACATACATGTATTTCATTCAGCCTTAGCAGAATGATGGGGTATCTTTGTAATCAGAACACAAGACTCTCTCTCTCTCTCTCTCTCTCTCTCTCTCTCTCTCTCTCTCTCTGCTGGTACTGGGGCTTGAGTTGAGGCATTCAAGATCTCAGTTGATGTTTTCTTTCAAAGCTAGTGGTGTACCACCACTTGAGACATTCCTCCATGTCTGGCTTTTTGGTGGCTAATTATAAATAAAAGTCACACAAATTTTCTTGCCTGAACTGGCTACAAAACATGATCCTCAGACCTCAGCCACCTGAGTGGCTAGAATATCAGACATGAGCCACCAGCACCTGACACAGGGTGAAGCTCTTTATTGCAGGCACTGCCTTTTAAGGGATCTTTGACAATCCCTAAGGAGAGTGGGCTTGATTATGACATGTCTGGGAAGTATCATGGTAGGATTTGTTTTAGTCTGGAACAAAGAAGACCTAACATGGAGGCTAATGTGTTCTTCAAATATTTAGAGGTCATCACTGTAGGGGGTGGATTTGTTTGATGATTTGCTATTGCTTCAGAGGGGGAAAAAACATGTTCTCTCTCTCTCTCTCTCTCCTTGTTTAAAGAAAGGCCCCTTAAAGAGAAACTTAACAATATTGATTTGTAGAGGGCAGAATTCTGTTGTAGGTGGCAAAGGATGATGACAAAGTAGAGTCACTGGCTTAGGGACTTTTCCTCACCTACTTCCAGCTACACGTAGACTTATGTGGAACCAAAGGGCAGAGGCCCAGGTGGTCAGTCCCCACATTCTCTCAAAGAGAGGGCTATGGCACATAGAGGCAGAAAATAAGCCATATGTGTGTATGTATATGTGGTGTGTATGTCTCTGTGGTGTGTATGTCCCTGTGTGTGATACTGGGACTTATTGTTCACACAAAGATGGCTTTCTACCACTTCAGCCATACCTCCATTGCTAGCTTTTTGCTGTTAACTGGAGATAAGAGTCACATGGAATGTTCTGCCCAGGCTGACTTTGAATCACAATCCTCAGATTTCAGTCTCTTGAGTAGTTAGGATTAGAAGGGTAAGCCACCAGTTTTGGGCATGCTTCTCTTTTATGATACTCAATATGGGCATTACTAAATATTGTGAAACTATATAAATGTTTATTGAGCTTACCTTTTAAAAGCCATAAGCTCAGGTGTATTAACATGGGTTATTTTCATTCATTCCATTGAATTCTGACTCTGAGTCCTCTCTCATGATAATTGAATCCAGTCATTTCAAATGTGTGATTTCCTATACACTTGGCCTGCCTCTCCTGCTTCATCCCCCAGGTTCAGTATTCAGGTTAAGAATATCTTGAGAGCCAGGTGCCTTGGCTCACATCTATAATCCTAAATACTCAGGAGGCTGAGATCTGAGGACCACAGTTCAAAGCCAGACAGAAAAGTATTTGAGACTTTTATCTCCACTAAACTACCAGAAAAAGCAATAAGTGGAGCTCACAGCTTATAGCTAAGTGATAGAGAGCTCGCCTTAAGCAGAAGAAGCTCTGCTTCTAAGTAAAGCCACAGGACAGGGAAGGAGTGGAAAGCCTGAGGTGCCAGGCACTAATGGCTCACACCTGTTGTCCTAGCTACTAAGAATCAGAGAATCGTGTTTCAAAGAGCCTAGGCAGGAAAGTCCATGAGACTCTTTTATTTTCAGTTAGCCAGACAAAAGCTGGAAGTAGAAGTGTGGCTCAAGTGGTAGTATGCCAGAACTTCAGTGGAAAAGCTAAGGGATGAGCCCAGACCCTGAGTTAAAGTCCCAGTATGAAGGAAGGAAGGAAGGAATAGAGGGGGAGAGAGAGAGAGAGAGAGAAAGCAAGGAAGGAGGGAAGGAGGGAAGGAAGGATAAAAGAAACACTAGTGTGAAATAAACGTGGTGATTTGTGCAAATGCATAAATTATAGTAGAGGGTGGAAAGCAGTGCCCACTTTTACATGAGCTGCAAAGGCCCCGGCTGGCGTCTTCCACCAGGAAACTCATCTCATGCTGTCTTCAGGCACAGCTACCGGCTGCTCCGCCATGAGCAATTAATCTTGCTTTAATCCATAGTAGAACAGTCCTCCCTGCCCCACCAGATCAGGTGTTCTCTATTCCAGATCACATGTCTTCTCTCCACAGGTTGCCACCACTTTTCTTCCTTGAAGCCTGGGAAAACAGTATGGTGCCCGCATTAGGAAGTCACCTTCTTCAGGCTTGTAACCCTTCTCACTCGATCCTGCTCCCCTAGGAACAAGTTCACTGGCAGAATCACTGACCGAACTGGCCTTTGAAAACATTAGCCCTGACTTGAAGGCCATCCTTCTTGTCTTTGCTTCGGACTGATAGCTGTAATCACTGACTTCTACCTTGGATTAGTTCAAATACATTGCGTATCCTAGAGACTCACTGGTGAAGAGCCTTTTTGACAAATTCAGACACCCTGGTGCTCTCTTCAGCTGCCATCTTGAGATTTCTGCCATCAATAACACCACTCTGCTACTGCCTCCTGGAGACTATAAATTCTCTTCTGTTCTAACCAATGAGTCTCTAGAAGAAGAAAAATCTCACGTCAGGCAGCATGAGAGCTGACAGCCACACACCCAGACTCTTACACACCAGAACCTGAACATGGCATGGCAGCAAACGTCTGAAAAATGATCGGTTGGTGAAGGGTGAAAGCCGCAGTGGGTGGTGTAAGTCATTGGACAGATTCCTGGCCCTGCCCTTTCTGGTTCTTAAAGGGCCTAGTCCCTGAGAAAGCTAGGCATTTAATTTCTGATAGCCTGCTCTTTCTTCATTCATACATTCAATGAACAAACATTGATTGAACACCTACGATCTGTGAAGCTAAGTGCCTGGACACAGAGATGACACTACGTACCCCCAAGGAGCTCATCACAACCCATTGGACACACCGATATGTGAAATTATATATTATGAAATTATAATACGGTTATCGCATGAATGATCATAATGTACTGTGGAGATAGACTGGATTTATTTCTCTGATAAAAAATATGAATCAACAATGAAAATTACCCTTTGTCCCAGGGCTCATCAGGGTTTAAGGAATATTAGTTAGCACCAATTGCTCCATAACTCATCCCCCCAGCTCAATTGGAAGAGCCCTTTGGTTTTGTGCCAATGCAGCACAGTTGAATGGCATGGCCCAATGACAGAAAGGCTAAAAGAGTTGTATCACAATGACCAACCTGGGGCGATTGCTCCCTGTTTAGGAAGCTGCATTTGAGGACTTACAATTGAAATAAGAGTGCCAGAGAAGGGTGGGGCATGGGAGAGGTGAAGGCGTCCAGCTACAGGAGATATTTCCTCTCAGGATTGTCCTCCTTCAGTTATGTGTTCTAGATCTCCTAGCTACATCCTGGTTCTAGCCATGGGGAGTAAGAAGGATGGAAGTCCAAAACGCAACAAGGTTATACTTGATCAAATCTTTCTCTTCTTTCAAGGGAAGTTTTTGTTGCTCTAGTTATTGATACCATTTGGACTTCTGATCTTAGATGTGAAATGGGTACCAAGAACAGATTGATCTTTGTATATGGCATTACATTATCCTGTAAGAGATGAGAGGAAATTGTCCAGACTCTCTTGTTTGGAAGAAGACCGTCTACTCTAAAGAAGACTTTCTAAAAGCCAGGCACTGGTGGCTTGCACCTGTAATTCTAGCTACTCAGGAGGCTGAGATTGAGAAGTTAGCCTGGGCAAGAAAGTCTGTGAGAGTCTTAGCTCCAATTAACCACCAGAAAACTGGAAGTGGTGCTGTGGCTCGAAGTGGTAGAGCACTAGCCTTGAGCAAAAAAGCTCAGAGACAGAGCCCAGGCCTTGAGTTTAGGTCCCACAACCAACAAAAAAGAAGGAAGGAAGGAAGGGAAAGAGAGAGAGAGAAAGAAAGAAAGAAAGAAGGAAGGAAGGAAGGAGGAAAGAAAGAAAGAAAGAAAGAAAGGAAGGAGGGAGGGAGGGAGGGAGGGAGAAAGGGAGGAAGGAAGGAAGGAAGGAAGGAAAGAAGGAAGAAAGGAAAGAAGGAAGGAAGGAGGGAGGGAGGGAGGAAGGGAAAGAAAAAGGGAAGGAAGGATTTCTTATTATGTTCAGCATGGCCTAGACACTCATCATATGTTCTATCTCACCA